AATCAAGTCAAGACCTAACATTTAATACGGGAATAAGTCATTCGACCCCCAAGTTAATGTTAGAGAAATTCAAGGCCAAGCCCGAAGGAGGTTCAATCGTCAAATCCATCTTTCAAGGTCTCAAGCCCAAATTAATGAAGAGAAGAATCAGAGGAGATAAATAGAGATTGTACCCGCATATCGTTTGATCGAAATAATTCAAGTTGTACAAAAGTTTTATGTTTTTCATAAAATTTGTTGTTACAACTTGAAATTTGTAACAACAAATTTTATGAAATAATCCAAATTTGTAACAACAAATTTTATGAAAAACATAAAACTTTTGTACAACTTGAATTATTTCGATCAAACGATATGCGGGTACAATCTCTATTTATCTCCTCTGATTCTTCTCTTCATTAATTTGGGCTTGAGACCTTGAAAGATGGATTTGACGATTGAACCTCCTTCGGGCTTGGCCTTGAATTTCTCTAACATTAACTTGGGGGTCGAATGACTTATTCCCGTATTAAATGTTAGGTCTTGACTTGATTGAAGAAGACTTCTTGGAGGACTTGATTCTTTGATCTTCTTGAAAGAGGAATTTTGACTTGAATAACGTTGACTCGAGGGCTTGATAGCTTTTTCCCGGATCAAACGCTATGTTTGTTGAACTTCTCAACGAACGTGGCTTAAATGTCGCTTGAACGTCGGTGATATTCTTGGATTGACTTAAGAAGCGTGAAAGTCGTCTCTTTACTTCTTGAGGAAGAGTCGCCGCCTCTTTTTCTTCTTCTTGGCCTTCTTCTTCATTGAACGGACCTCGGACGGTTCTTCAAGAACTTCTTCAAATCTTCAAGAGGATTCTTGAGAGCTCTTGAATTTGAGACTTTAATCTTTGAGATGTGTTTGATATTTTTGAGGTGTTTATGGTGTTTGAGGTATTTGAGGTGTTTGAGGTATTTGAGGTGTTTGAGGTATTTGAGGTGTGTGAGGTATTTGAGGTGTGTTTTGTGGCATTGGGGAGAGCCCTATTTATAGGTTTAGGAGAGAGAGTTTTGGAAAAGAAGACATCAATTTGATTGGTCCTTCTTGATTTGATATAATCTCTTTCATTATCCTAAGATTTGACTTGTTGGACAAGAAATAATAACTTTTATTAATTAAATATCTTATTTATCATGGATTTATATCCCAAAATAAATAAAGACATTAATTAATAAAATATTAAAATTTCGATGTTTACATTTATTAATCCAGGCCTTCCATCAAAAGTAGATGACATGAGATGCTACGATGCTT